AATTAACAGAGATTGCAAAAGGTATTCAAAATAAAATGAACTGAATGGGAGATGATAAATAAGAAACTACAGAATGAAGAACCAACTGAAAATTTAAAAAGACTGAACAGTTGTATGAGGCAGCTTAAATACTATTTTGGTCTCGAAATTCATAAGTTCAGTACATTTTAATGAGTTACATGTTGATATGTGTACCATGCTGTGTAGGATCACCAACTTTAATCAACTGATATAGTCTCGTTGAATCACTCGAAGCAGACGTCGAGTGGATTGGTTTAAGTTAGACATTAACACCGTTGGATTACGGCTCACTAGCCTGGAGGTTAAGCGTTGGCGCGTTAGACTTTGGTTGGAGTCTCTCTAATTGAGAGGTCGCGGATGCACTCTGAAGAGTAATTCCATGCTAGGACGAAACGGCCGTCCAGTATTTCCAGGTTTCCAACATTGATCTAACATTGATGATGTCAATGTAGACATAACAATCTTCACAATTTCATACTAATAGTTTTTTAGTTAATCAATTGTACCGAATACAAACCCATACCTAATAATGGACATTTATTTATTGATAAAACTATTTGTTTTATATCATGGAAACTATTTTTGATTACAAAACAGGAAGTAAACTAATCCTTAAACACTTATTGAACAGTAAAATTATAATTAAATAAATGAAATTTGAATCCAACTCACTGTGTTTACATCTATACATAAACATATACATATAGAAGAGTCATTTAAACAAATACACACATACATCGTCAAGTGTACATTGATTAAATCTTTAGTTTATTTTTATAGATAAACATATCAACAAACAAATATTTGTAGAAATTAGTAAATAATATAAAAACTTTAGGGAAATGACTAAATCATTTAGTCCGTAAATTAGATTTCAGACATAAATGCTCATCTGTTTAATCATTATTTTCTATGTTCTCATATATATTACCAAATTGTTTCGTTGCTTATCTACAAATGTACATTTATATGTATGTGTATTTGTGTATTTGTCCATCACTATATACATATTGATCCATTAAAGGTTTAACAATAATAACAGTAATAATAATAATAATAATAATAATAATAATCGCAATTGATCAGTGATAGTACACATATCTCACTAGGAGTAAAATGTATCCAAGTAATGTATACAATTTATTATTACTTTCATATGTATATATACTTAATATTCATTCAGAGAGTGCTACTTATTTTTCTATTTAAGTAATATTATGTAATTTTGCAAAAATTAATCTGATTCAATAGAAAAATTTTGTGTATAGCGCGTGTATTTGTGTATTTGTGCGTGCTGCTGAGGAGTCTCATACTAAAACGAAACGGTCGTCCAGTGCTTCCAGGTCTTCCATGGTGGTCTAGCTTCAACTGACTCATGATTTCAATCTGTGAAAATTTCTGAAATCTCCACAAACCCCTTCTGATATTGTTGAACTGTTCATTTATTTAATAATTAATTATTTTCTTTTACTTCCTACAAGAAATCAATACACTTCGTGAATCTACTTAATAAAGAACCCCTTTTCATTTCATTCATATCACTTCCAGTGATTATAGATTGTTGTTTTGTAATAAGTGATCGATTATTATTAAGAACAAACAATTTAATGAAGAAATATGTTAAAGATGGGGATCAATAATCTAATGTCAAGCTCATCAACATTATTCTTCATAATAAAGTAAAGAATAATTAAGAATTGTAAACTGTTTCATTTGATAAATATAGAACATTAAATGAACTTAAACAAAGCAATTGATGTAATCAGTCTAAGCACTTAGACTAATATCCACATTGCAGTATGATCGGTAGAATTCAATCACTTTTAAATAATGACTTGATAAATATGTCATTGGTCTTAATTGTGTGATCAGTCAATTGTAAAAACAAAGTTTATATTCGATGTTTACTCAATACTACTGAAATCATTGCCATCTATTTTTAAAAAAAACTGAATCTTTGTTTATAAAATGAAATGATGGTGACTAGCAACCCAGGACGTATGTTTTTCGTCCTATTTTAAATTCGTCAGCTGGATGTACCTGCACCCAGGAGTTGATGTTCACTCCAGGACTCAGTTTATAATGCTTGTTACTGAAGGCAATATCGACGCACATATGCCAATAAGAGACTGATCAAGTGCGGTCCTAAATATCAATGAGAAGATTCAAGTAACCAATACAAAAATGAATCTTTGTTTACAAAACGAAACACGTATACATTCACTCTTACTACTTCGTTCATCACTACAGCTTATATTTTCACTTGATATATATTTTTTAATAAATTAATAATTTGCAAATAATCTATCAACTTCACTTACAAACTTTTCTTACTACCTCATTTATGCTTATATAACTATTTCCAATGCATCTGTTTACGTAATTACTGTTGTTAATAATTGACCTATTTTTTTATCCATCACAGACAATAAAAGGTAGCTTCGAAATACTGTAACTTGGTTGAACCTAGAAATAAACACCGTTTTATGCCAGGAAAGTGATCTCGAGGTTAAGTGCTCACTCACGAGACTCTAGGTCCTGGGTTTAATTCTCAAGTGTAGAGTTGGGCTTATGCATTGATAAAGAGTCCCATAATAGAATGAAACAGTCGGGTAGCACTTCTCAGTTTTCTGTGGTGGTTTGTCCAAGATCAGTTAGTGACTCAAACCATAGAAAATAATTGTGAATTCAAAATGAAGTAAAATCAATAAGAACAGAGTAGGAATGGAATGAATTTATTATTCTGTGTGAAAACCTCTCATATAAGGTGCTAAGACGTGACTAAAATTTATGGACGACCCAATCAGGTATAAGATAACAGGTCTCGGATTTTAGCGCGAAATTCATTGATCCATTTGGCTAAATAGAGTTTTGGCATTATATCTGATGTTAGTTTGTGGTGAAAACCCTAAATCTAATTCCTAACCTCAACCATCAACTGTAAATCATAATTCCGATTCCTCACACTGGTTTATAACCCTCATTTAGTCCTATTTATTAGGTGCACACTCTCAAGGTCAGTCTAGAGTTGCTCAAATGTCGTCTATAAATTATAGTCTCACCGGTGCCATATATGTAATTCATAACATGTCGAATTTATTCTTCTTTCAGTAGACAATTAAACAAATAACAACAACTGAATCCGTGTCATAAATTCATCTATTCAACTATCATCTTAAACTCGTTACAATTAAGTATAGTGATTAAATAAAGTGTAAGATTTCTCAGAATAAATGGAATTAATCAAAATGTAGATTGATTAAATTTCAGAAATATATATACTGTGACATGATGTACGTCATTAACTCTGATAATGGTCTTTGTCGTGTGGTCAAAACGCTACTGGATTTCTCTTCAACCCCAAACTCCACTTAATCGCATTCATAAACCTGTAATAAGAACAACTTAAAGATTGCTGAAGGTTATTCACAAGCACTATTTTTATATTGAGTAAACTCATTGATCACGTGGTTATATATGGACAAAACAAACGGTCACAACGTGCCTTAATTTCAATATGTAGTTGGCTGAATATAGTGCATGATGAACAAAATAGGAATAAATATAAATGATCTAGTTACAAAATGACTTTCAGTTAGAACTCTGCGAAATATCAAACGACTGTTTAAAAAATATTCACCATAATAAATGTAAAATCAATTTATCAAAGGATAATTATCATTCGTGTTTTTTTTTCATTTTCCTTCCCTCGTTCCCAATCATATTATATACAGATTTTGTAGAATTACCATGAAATAAGTTATATACTGTGTTTAGTAATTTCCCATAGAGATCCGTTTTTAATCACTAAATGATCTTAATCAGATAACTGTTGAAAACCTGGGAGCACTGAACGGTTGTTTCGCCCATTCAAGATGGCTTACTCATAGATCCAACCCAGAACATTTGATCTCGAACACGAACACCTAACCTCTATACCACTGACTGGGTATCCAATAACGTACAAGCTTGATAACTGTATTGCACTTGACATAGTTGAACTTCACTGGTCATGTTTTTCTCACTAGAACATCTGGAATTACATTTACAAACTATGCCCTAGTGATCACACTGTTAAGAAACCCCGTACTAGAACGAAATGCCCGTCCAATGCTTCCAGGTTTTCAATAATGATTTAACGAAGATTACTTCATGAATTAAAATCTATGAAAATCCTATGACCTTCACAGGACCCTTTATTTCGCTTTCATGATCAACAAGTTTGAGTAAAGTTACGATTAAATATTTATTATTATTTCTCCGTATAGAAATGCATTTGTATGCTATCGATTTAAACTGTTTTTCCACGTCATTGATAATGTAACACCTGAAAGTTCTATCGAGTAAGCAAATGACAATGAATAAGATACATTTCCTTTATTGATTGCTTACATTCACTGTATGTAGAATATTTTAAAAGCTTCATGTAATTGCTTTCGTCAGTTACCGCCCTAATCCTGCTCTACCTTACCACCACCACCACTATCACAGCATGGTTGCTTTAAATAACAACAATAAAGGTTTAGTGGAAAAGGAGAAAAAGACTAAGAGGAGAGGTAAGGAGAATGGAAATTTTTACTTCACACTGACAAGGTTATTAGTAAACAGAATATAGGATATTGTTAATAAACAAATAAACAAATAAAAACGAGAAAGGGATTATTTAGGGGATTTTTTTTCCTTTTAAGAAAACGAATAAATTAAATAATAAACTCTTTTACTTACTAATTTGAATTTCAAATGAAACCAGGTCGAATATAGAATGAACTTTTGATTGTTGACACAAAACAAAGCGAAAATATACACATACACACACAACACTAGGGCTCCCTTTTTTCTTATCATGTCAATATTATCAACATTTATGTGCATACATTTTATGGGGAGAAAAACAGGGGCATTTAAAATGTCATCATTATTCCATTGTTTTCGTCTAATATATCTTTTCTTCTTTATGAACGATTTTTTGATACAAGAGGGAAAGTTTTACTGTAGAAGTAAAAAATAGAATTAGTTTTTGAAAGCTGATATTAACAATAAGTAGAAAAGATGACTATTATTATGTAGACTGTCATCTGATGAATGATTCTAACGTCAAGGAGAATTTGGTGACATTTTCGGTAACTGAATGAGGTAAATAAAATCTCATACAATGATTTATGAACAAATCTATACATTTTTGACGGCTTGAATGAAAGATATGAATAGGAAGCCCTTAAGTAAGAAATAGATCAAAGTCTTCAAGTCGATTATCTTCAACCACTAGTTGCTAACAAAAATTAAACCTCACTCTTCAATAACTTTACTCCACCTAACTTGAATGTTATGAAGAATGGAATAATACACTATTACTTCAGTGACTGTATAATAATAGAAATGATAGTTCTTGATGTGGTTGAAAGTCGTTAGTGCAAAATCCTAGACTGAGTTCCCGCATTTAGTTGACATTTATCATCAAGGTATGCATAAAATCTCGAGAGAAATTGCTCCTCCTTATAGAATTCGAAGTTATGTCATCTAGTTTGACATTCTCAGACATTGTCACTGAGCCTAATGTGCCGCAGCCAACATCCTGCAGGAATGGTGTGCAATAATGCTTGATTAGTCACTAGGTAGTAACATATTTGCTCTTTGTTTAAATCTTTATTGATAGTCGAACTATATCAATAAAGTTGCAATAAAATCGCTAATATTACTGACTCAAAAATAACATGCACTATGTTAAAGTAATAGATGGTTAGGTGATCATTCAATAAATCCGTTCATTTTAGTCATTCCCGACTTCATCGATAGACATTCTGTAATAAAATTTAGTTAAACCAATAAAACACTGATTATTCTCTCGTTTTTGACCGTAATCAAAGTGATTTCAATAAATGTTATCAATAAATATCTTTTATAAAAATATAATATAGCCATTCGTAGTTTCTTAATTTGCAAATTTAAGATCAATTTCATGAAAGAAAGCTTTTTAAGTTTAACACGTCCTGTATTGTAAGCACCTGAAAAACTGAATTCCTGACTACTTCGTAGTCTTCCAAAGTCTTTGACTCTTGAAATATGAATAAAAATATGAAGCCGAAATTATAGAATAAGTTATATTCGAAAAATAAGATTATATACAGAAAATAAGCGAATTTATAAGATTACTATCACCTTGAAGTTCTAGAACCTCTGGTGATAGACATTAGGATTGTCGATGAGTTTGTGAATTGTCCAATTAACATTTTCGTGGACGTTAACACTGTTGAATGCCGGTTCAGTTGTCTAGAGTTTAAGCGTTCACGAGCGTGACCGAAGGTCCTGGATGCTCACTGCTCAGGAGTCCCACACTAGGACGAAACGGTCGTCCAGTACTCCAAGGTTCTTAATGGTGGTCTAGCATTGATCGATCCATGATCTCAATCATAAGATTTTATAAACTTATTATTTAGTTTTGTGAACTGTGCATAGAAAATTTCAAGAATATGCTTACTGATTAAGCATTTCGACCAGCGTTTTTTTATTGATTCCTACATACTTTTACAAGAGATCATCATTGACTTTGATAACTTAAAAATCAATTGAAATGTAAGTCTATACTCGATATCGTCAAGGTTCATAATCAAGTGACTATAATTTCAGTCAATATATTAACTTTATTGAAATCATGAGCCGATCCAACTTAGACAAATATGGGAAATCTTGAGACATTGGATGGTCATTTAGTCCTAGTACGAAGTCCTAGTAAGAAACCGTGATCAATGAAGTTATACTGTCTCTGATGTGAAAAAGTTACCTAATTAAAATGACATAAGTTTGTCGTTCAGTATTCCAAATTGATCGAAGTTAGATGGATGCCGGCTCAGTGATCTAGAGGTTAGTCGTTAGTGCACAAGATCTAAGGTTCTAGATTCCATTCCCCGTTGCGGGGTTGTAAATGTATTATTAAGTAATCCCTTACTAGGACGAAACATTCATCTAGTGCTTTCACGTTCTCAATGATTGTCTAACTAATATCAGATCATGATAAAAAGTATGAAAGTTCACCAATCTCTAAAAATCCAGTAAGTTATTTAAAGAAGAATGTATTTGTAAAATCTCAGCGAAAGAATTTGAAGCAGATCCAACCTTTCGCCTGGCGATCTGATTCAAGCTCTTTCAAGGAGATATTTCCATGTTTAATTCAATCATATTGTTAACTTGTCTTTATTCTTGTTTAACATTATATAACAAAAATTGTCTGTTTCAAACCAATCATAGTTTATTTCAATTTATTTCTAAAACTACAACCACCACTCCCTCATTTGTAGCACACTGACATCGGTTGTTCAGTTCTTTTTTCTCAGTTTGTACGATTCATCCATTAAAATTTCATATGATTCTTAATACACACAAATATTAAGTTTATCAAGATTAGTAACACGTTTAATTCTTCATATGATATATGTTGACAACAAAATAAAAATGATTTCCCAATTTGTACAAGATAAAACATAATAAATAGTAAAATGTTTATTTTTATTTTGTATCACTATAACTATGTAATCGATGGGCTTAATCTTAGTTTCTTTGTTTCTCATCTATTATCGATTCCTACTTGTCTGATATACGCATAATAACGTGTATATATTTGTGAAAACATCTTTTTTTGACAAGCAAATGAATTATACCTTCTTTTTTTGTCCGACATGTTAAACCTAAAAGCAATATCTTAATTCATCCATTTGTTGTTAGGATACTTTTTTTTTTCTTATCGACTATATTACACATTAATGTGTAAATATGTATAGGACATGTTTCTATTCACATTAATTCATCTATAATACATATACACAAACATACACAATATACATATATAGACCAAGAAGAGATTCATAAAACTAAAGTTGTAATTTATCAATGAAATTAATTGTTCATCCATTAGAGAGACTGAATTCGAGATCATCATCATCATCATCATCATCATCATCATCATCATCATCATCATCATCATCATCATCATCATCATCATCATCATCATCATCATCATCATCATCATCATCATCATCATCATCATCATCATCATCATCATCATCATCATCATCATCATCATCATCATCATCATCATCATCATCATCATCATCATCATCATCATCATCATCATCATCATCATCATCATCATCATCATCATCATCATCATCATCATCATCATCATCATCATCATCATCATCATCATCATCATCATCATCATCATCATCATCATCATCATCATCATCATCATCATCATCATCATCATCATCATCATCATCATCATCATCATCATCATCATCATCATCATCATCATCATCATCATCATCATCATCATCATCATCATCATCATCATCATCATCATCATCATCATCATCATCATCATCATCATCATCATCATCATCATCATCATCATCATCATCATCATCATCATCATCATCATCATCATCATCATCATCATCATCATCATCATCATCATCATCATCATCATCATCATCATCATCATCATCATCATCATCATCATCATCATCATCATCATCATCATCATCATCATCATCATCATCATCATCATCATCATCATCATCATCATCATCATCATCATCATCATCATCATCATCATCATCATCATCATCATCATCATCATCATCATCATCATCATCATCATCATCATCATCATCATCATCATCATCATCATCATCATCATCATCATCATCATCATCATCATCATCATCATCATCATCATCATCATCATCATCATCATCATCATCATCATCATCATCATCATCATCATCATCATCATCATCATCATCATCATCATCATCATCATCATCATCATCATCATCATCATCATCATCATCATCATCATCATCATCATCATCATCATCATCATCATCATCATCATCATCATCATCATCATCATCATCATCATCATCATCATCATCATCATCATCATCATCATCATCATCATCATCATCATCATCATCATCATCATCATCATCATCATCATCATCATCATCATCATCATCATCATCATCATCATCATCATCATCATCATCATCATCATCATCATCATCATCATCATCATCATCATCATGGCCACTGAGTTCATCAATAGCTATCATTCAACAGTGTATTCAGTCGATGGATATTTCAATATCAAACTAAACATTTTGTCTGAATATTAATGAATGGATATATAAAATTACTTAATTCAAACATACATACATACATACATACATACATACATACATACATACATACATACATACATACATACATACATACATAGATATAAATCCTGTTTTTTTTAGATTGATCATTTGTCGATATTACAGATAGTTGATGGCTGACAACTATTTACAATTGAATGATTTAAACCACCTGTTTCAATAAATCATTCATTTCACAAGGGGTGAGGAAAAGGGAGATGAAGCAAGAAGGTATGGCGATTGTGAATTTAACCATAAATGAAACTAACTAATATGGTTATGATTTTTGAATTTTTACACTTTAATATAAAATTTAATTTAAACAAATGAATTATAGTTTAGTGTTTATTCTTTCTAATTTACTAATTTTCTCAACTATAACTTAAATTGACATTTTAAACACACATAAATATATATGAGTAAAGAAGATTCTCTTCAGGTACTTCGATTTACCAGGAAAATTCTCGAAAACCTTATCAAGTAAAGTACTGTATAAAACATATTCAATAACTCAATCAAAGGTTGATAAGCACACCTTTTATGTTATCTTCAACTGTATTTATGAATTTACGTGTACCTACCAAAGTAGTTACACTAGCCAAACAGAAAGGAAAGCATATCCTAGATTTTTTTTTAAACATGTTCTAAAAGACCCCAGAATAAGAGAAAGAAAGACTCTAAACAGTGCAAACACTAAACATCTCTCGAATACAGGACATCAGATCGATACAATGCGATCTTTCAAGGCGATTAGTAAGTAGCCAACTCCAGTCTTTTGAAGTTTACTGAAGCCGTTGCTATCGGAATCTGACGTAGATGTGAAAGCGCGGATCGGAAAGGCAACACCATCATATTTACAATTGAACATCTGGAACTAAAAACAACTATCGAACAACACCAAAGTCAGGATTTTCAATACAAATGTCGAGACAGTTCTACTGTATGGGGAAGAAACTTGGAGAACCACGAAAGTCATCATCCAGAAGATACAAGTGTTTATTAACAGTTGTCTACGCAAAATACTTCGGATCCGTTGGCCATACACTATCAGCAACAACCTACTGTGGGAGAGAACAAACCAGATTCCAGCGGATGAAGAAATCAGGAAGGAGCGCTGGAAGTGGATAGGACACACATTGAGGAAAGCACTCAACTGTGTCACAAGACAAGCCCTCACATGGAATCCTCAAGGCTAAAGGAGGAGAGGAAGAACGATGAATACATTACGCCGAGAAATGGAGACAGACATGAGAAGAATGAACAACGATTGGATAGAACTGGGAGGGAAGGCTCAGGACAGAGTGGACTGGAGTATGCTGGCCGGCGGCCTATGCTCCATTGCGAATAACAAGCGTAAGTAAGTTGCTATCAGGCGTTAAAAACCTGACTTATATGTTCAAAAGTAGATAGTTACTAATCTTTCCTTACCTTGGTGATAAATATTCCTTCATGGCATTTTTTTGCAACTTTTTTTCTCTAACTCTTTCTTGCACTTATTACATCATTGAGTTTTTATTTGTTATTTTAATTCTTATTTTATTAACTGAGCTTTACTCATTTTTACATATCATGTATTCACTTGTTTCTGGCTGTTTGAACTGTTGTCACAATCAAGGTTGTAGAATTTTCTTTTACATAAGGTATATATTTGAAACATTCAGTCTAGTAAACTTATTTACACCCTGACTATACTAATATGTCTTCAATATAACTTCATTAATGAGTATCTGAAATTTTCTGGGAGGACGACCTCTCTGTATGACTCTAGTTTACGTCACCCAGCTATACGAGCATGAGATATTACCATGCCTTGACCTGGTCGGCATGATCCAATGATTAATAAAGGTCAATACGAACATGATGTTGTTCACCGTTCACTGATCAATCATTTGTAAATATTTCTGTTCTATAGGAAATTAGTCAGAGTTCAAACAACTCAGTGATGTTGACTGTAAAACTGGGTGACATAGGATCGAAATATATAGGAAGTACTAATCCCTTCAAAATTGAAGATATGCTTTGTTGATTACTATTAGTTAAACCTGGGTCTAGATTTTCCTACCGATTATATTTAACAACCTAAAATTAATAACCAATATTAATAACAGGAATTGTTAAGATTTATAATTGTGTTGATTTGATCTATTTAAGTTATTTTGAAATCTGTGTTACAAACAATTTACAGTACTAATTATATTCATTAGGAAATAATCCTTTCAGTATTTACAATTTATTCACTGTAGTTTGTCACACTTTTCATATGTAGCTACTATGGTGCGTGCTACTTATATTGATATAAGTAGTATATTATGCAAGTTAGGAATGTGATGTCTGGCAGCAGAAGATGAGGGAAGATCAAGAAAGCAAGAGCGGGAATAGAATGCAATTTGTATGAAAATGTAAGAACAATGAAGTCTGAGGAATTTCGAGACAATTGGTGGACATTTTGCAAATTAATGATTTAATATATAGTTCACAGATTTTATTTAAAAATAAATAAAAAAACTTTTCTAAATCTTCAGTTATAATCCGATTAGAATCTTAATACTCAAGTAATTTACTATTTTCTAATAAATCCATCTTGAAGCTATTCACTAGTGAGTATATAATAATTGTTAGTATAGGATTGTGAAGATTGCTGAATTTAGATTAATATCATGAATGAATCAATATTAAACCACCGTTGAAAACCTGGAATCACTGGACGACAATTTTGTCCATGTATGGGACTTCTGAGCAATGCATTACGCGTCGTGATAAACGGTGTTCAGGTATACGTAACACGTGGCCCAACCAATTCAGTCGATGAAGATTAACAACCTCATCAACTGATTTACCATCATTCCCTAATATCCTGCGTTTAACCTCACTCTTACTTACCCGGTGATCCCAGCAGACGCCAGCAATATTTCTAAGGCATCTGTGGTCAAATACTAATAGCTTACGAGTGTCTTCTACTCTTAATGGCCATGTTTTGCTGCCGTAAATTAAAACAGAACGGACTGCCGCGCAGTATACTCGTCCTTTTATTGATAGACGGATATCTCGCCTTCGCCATAGGTGACGTAACTTGGCATAAGCCAAGCGAGCTTTATGAATCCGTGCTGAGATTTCATCAGACACCAACCCATTAGGGCTGATCAGACTTCCAAGATATGTGAAGTTGTCAACGCGTTCGACTACTTCACTCTCTATCCTTAGTTCCGATGTTGACACAAACCAGTCCTGAATCAACAAAGAAAGAAACTCATTTAAAACATTCTGACATTGTTTCTCAGTGCTATCAAAGGACTGCATTTTATCAGCGTCTTCACCAAACAGGACTATATCATCTGCGTATTCCTGAAAATTCAGTCGACGAGTACGTTGTTTCCATCAGCATGTCCATGATATATATATTTATAAGACAAATGAGTTATCCAGTCATCCTAATTGAGCTTATCTTCAGACACTATCTTTACTGATGTTTAAAAATAGTCTTTATTCAAAATAAGTGGCTATATTTTTTACATTCATCATTAATTTGTATTCTTATAAAATAAATTTTGTCAGGTTCTGATCACCTTGTCAACTCTATTGGTTAAATGTTAATGTTAATTGAAAGTGCTAAATACTAGGAGGAATAAATATTTTTGATTGACCATAAAATTTTAAACAATTGGTGATGTAATAACCTTTTTTTACCTAGTTACTGATTAACTAATATAAAATATATTGACCGAAACATCTGGATTTTGTTTATAAACACGACTACTCTGTTTCATAATTGCTCACATGGTTTTACATGGATACACACATATAAATATACGCACATACATGCATAATTACACATTCAAATGCATAAGGAAGTAATTTTCAAAAGAAGAATACTTTGCCTATATCGGGAATGATATATACACATATGTGCTTATATCAGTGGAAAAAAGCCTAGAAGGGAGTAATAAATAGTGAATAATAAATGAAGGTTATTTATTCATCTCGACGATTTATATTATTGTACCTTAAAAAACATAGGGGTCCAATATTGGAAATCACATGAGACTAAAAAAGTGGTTATATCTTAATTTGGAACTCTTGAGTAGGACACATTCATCATATATAGAATATAGAACAATAATCTTTTAGTTACATGATGTAAAATAGGCTATCACTCAGTTAATGGGATGAAATATGAATGTATAAATATTAGATATTTAATTAAACAATACCGGATGATAAATTTTGGATTTAACTATGCATGGGATTAGAAAAGTTTTTGAATAAAGAGTCTGAACCAATAACAAACTACTGTCAAACACTGTCTGTTTTGTTCACTCCTTTATCATATCCCTAACAGTATTTATGACATTGGTGATTACGATTTCGGTGTACAATAGGTATGACCACATTGTCACTTGTATATTTCACTGATTTATGAGTGACGACAGAGTTTATCCTTAATAACATTAAGGTTCAATAAATGTGTAACATCCAGAATTTTCGGTCATTTTTTCCATTGATGTAGTAGGTGACTGTTAGATTTTAAAAGGTACTTTTCACTAGAGATTTTAATCCAGGCCATGCTTTTCTCGAAATTTATTTTTCAACTGGATTGTTGAGTTGCGCTAAATGGATGTACTCAGAGTATACAGTTACAGATACCTCCAAAAGATTGAATTCCTAAGTGAAAATTACTCTTCAGTATGCAGTACTTGCCCATTAAATAAACAAAAGAATGATCGAAACTGTTGGATACAATATACTTATTGAACATTGAAAAGGTTGCAGACAATGTCAGAAAGGAATGACTTACGGAGATATTAATTCTATAAACGTAAAAAAATAGTACGAATAATTTTTTGTGATGCCTACTTGCACATTAATTATTTCGTACATCATTATTATATCTTTGATTTTCAGTTCAGTTAGAAACTGTGTATAAATAATTTTAATCTTCCTGAGAAGCCATTACATGTT